GTGTTCTGAGTGATTTGATATCTGCATGTTAAAACATACACAGTTTATTTTATGTTCATGAGTAGCAGCGGTCCTGCATTGCTGGGTTTGCCTGTCGTCCCAAAAGGATTTCAGTCAGTTATCATTTCTCCTCTTTGTTTAGCCTGAATCCATAAAGCCTCCTCAAGAACATGTTTTGGGTAATTAAATTCTTCTCTTCAAAGGTTTTAGAGCTAGAATGGCACTTGAACGACTGTTAGTCTGTCATAAACTTTTCCCATCCATGCACTCTTTTGGTTAACAACTCCAGCCAGTTCATAGTCAAGTTAGTTCTAACTTCTAAAGTATACGATCCTCTTTTTTGGGGTATTGGCAAAAAAGATACTTGATAGTTTTCCTGTCAAACAGGAAGCCTAGAACTGATCAAGTATATCAACTTAAAAATTGTCTACTTGCTAAATATTTAAGATTAAAGATTGAGTGATTTGAGTGGGGGACGACTCCTCTTGTTTTCTGTTCTTTTATTTTTTTCTAGCGATATTTGCAATGTTATCTGCACATCTTCTCCTCGCTTAATCCTGGTAGAACATCTTGGTCATCTCCCTTTTTGTGATAAAGGGCATCTAGGTCTCTAAGTTGGAAAAGATTTTCCTAGTCTGATCATATTCATAGCTTCTATTTTTGTAAGCACCTTCATACAAAATTTCTAAGTGAAATGTTTCCGCCGTTACATTGAACTACATTCTGTTTGGTGGTGCAGAGGAATTACCGCTTCTTCTTCATGTTTGTATTCTCAACAACCCTTCTTTGCTTATACGTCCATGGCTTCTGCTGGGTCTATATTAGAAGGATCATGGATGGTGAGCAAACCAACATCTGGAAAGCAATGGCCAAGACTCCTGCCTCCATTGTGTTGATCGGTTATACATTCATATCAGTCTGGTTTGTTGGTGGCTTGTCTGTCTTCCATCTTTATCTCATTGGCACAAACCAGGTAATATATTCTTCTTGACAACTGCAGTGTTTCAGATGTTTTCCCTTTTTCTTTGTTTGAATTCCTTTGGATTTATAGGATTAAATTACTTGATGTTTTTGACACTTGAGTCTTCTATTTGCTTGCAGTCTACATATGAGAATTTTAGATATCGATATGATCGGCGGGTCAATCCTTTTGACAAAGGTGTAATCCATAACTTCTTAGAGATATTCTGCACCAGTATTCCTCCTTCCAGGAACAAATTCAGGGAGAGAGTGCAGAGAGAACCTGGGATACCAGCTCGTGAAGTGGCTGGTGGTTTTGTTAGTCCGAACTTGGAGAAAACAATGAGCGACTTAGAAATGGGAAGGAAGCCAGGTTGGCATGAGACTGCAACAGGAACTGATGATTTTGAAGAACAACCTAGAAATGATAATCAGTTAGATAAGGATGAAGAGCTCTTGGCTGCATCCCCAGAGCTAAGCAACACCACCTTGGCTGAAGGGCGTAGTATCCTACATCCTAGGCGCTCTAGTTGGGGAAGAAGAAGTGGAACTTTGAATATACCGCCTGACGTAATTGCCATGGCATCTGAAATTGGAGAGTCTAATCGGACGACTGTCAGTGATAGTGCTTACCGGATTGACAACCAGCAATAGTATGTTGTTTAAATTATTGTAGAACAACTGACAAAGTCAAAGGAGATCCTGTCCCGTCAGAGGATGGGATCAGGTTATCCTTGAGGAGGTGTGCTGTTGTGTGTATAATTCTATTTTCTTCTATGTTTAGTTTTCTTTTGTTGAAAGCTCTTTGAAATGTGCTTAATCTGCAAAGAGGAAAAAATTCTTACCAGAAATGGCTTCCAACTGTTATATGTGATATATTGTGAAGATACAAATTCTATTCTACTTCATCACTTCTCTTCTCTTTTTGGGTAATTGCCTCAAGTTATCACATATGGGAATCTATAGCCACTCTTGGTAACCCCATTTTACTTAAGATGTGCACGCTCCTCGACTTGAAAAGTTTTCTGGAGACGCACAGTTTTTTGCAAAGGTGAAAATGGTTCACAATAACACTGAAAGAGAATCTTCAAGGCAATTTATAAACATGAAGGCAATATTAGGTATCCTTTTACGTCTTTCCGTTAACTTTGAATGCCCTCCATTTGTAACGGTTGTTTGGTCATTGGATAGGATGAAGGGGGACTACGATGTTTTAGATCATATTCAGAGGAATAAAGATCAAAGATAGGTTAATTAAATTTAAATAAAGATGAGTACTTTTGTGACAAAATTTAACTGATTTGCAGGAAAGTTCTATAGAAGTGATTCAATTCTACAAGAGATGTCCCAAATTCAAGATTCTCCATTCATGTTTTGGACATTTCATGCCAAAAAAAAATACATAACTAATCAATTTATTGATCTACATTACAAAAATCCCAAATGAGAGATAGCATCCATCTGCGGCAAGTAAATTAACCATCTGCTAACATCAATAAATGTATTGAGAACAGACCTTGGTGCGAATTGTAATTGCTACCAAGTAATCAACAGTGTGCATTTTAGTTTTCATTGGCACAAAGGAATGGGAAGTGTGCATATTATGCAGCTAATTGTTCTTCACTGCATGCTCTGAAATCGTTTGACAATCATGAGGCTCATTTCCATATAGCGTTGTGCACAGTTAGATAGACAATTAGATTCACTGGAGCTGAACTTGCTTCCAGGTGTGCCAGTGATACATTTATCCCAGCAAGCACTTGTAAGCTTTCCAACCATTTCATTGATCATTGCCCTTTCCTTCTCTTGCTGTAGAAAATCAAGAATTGCGGAGCAAAAATTAGTGAGATGAAGACACTTGACAATATCAGAACCCTAAGAAAAGTAAAACACAACAGTTAACTGGAGAACTGATGTTCTATAAATTGCTCAACACCGGGGGGGGGGGGCAACTTAATCAAATCAAGTCAGCACGCAATTCCAAGTCATGTAATATCCATTCTAATACTACAAGGGATACAAGATTCTGCACTCAAGTAGCTTAAGATTCCAAAGCACTCTGAACCTCTTAGTCTAATATGGCAAAAAAGGAGAAGGCAATGAACAAGATCAGAATGATCCTCACAAATATGTATTTTTGTGAAGAGGCAGGGAATGGTTGACAGATATCTGTGAATTTCATTAACATATTTACTGAAGTTATGAGGAAAAAATGTTTAGAAGTAACTGGAGAAGCTTTGAAATAAACTGTTATTCGGAGAAAAAAAACTAATTCTTGAGGTAATACATGACTAAGATCCTATTTTACTACTTCATTAAGCATTTAAAGTAAAATCCAAAAATAATGAGTTAAGATCAACTTTAACGAATCATGATTTTTCCAAGATGGTATCCAAGTTTCTTGTAGATGACCTTCACTGAATGCCTTCCTGGTAGATTGATGGCACAAGACTTAGGACATAATCAGCCATCCCGCAAGCAAAAAGGTAACTAGCAAATACTACACTTTTCATGTAGCTTGAGTAAGTTCAAACAGTGATAAAGATAAATGAGCTCAAAAGTTATCTTCTCACTAGTTTAAGAGCTGTAAATTCATTCAAGGAGCTTCATAACATAATTGAACCCAAAAAAATTTAACTTTTTACTAGTTTTATAAGCTGCAAATTTATTCAAACAGCTTCATAGAAACTTTTAAGTGATTCTAGTTTCATTCCTTATAGGAATTTGCAGCATATACAGTTTTTCCAGTCTCCTTAATGCTTTACTCAAAAGCAAAAGTGGGATCAAAATCACAAACTTAACTGTGTCAAATTTTGGTTCCCCTTTATTCTATAGTACTACCTCGTGTTGGAGGGTTATTCCAGGTGATTGCCTTATCTTCTCTCACAAAAATTAGACTTTATGAATCTAAGCCAAGGAGAAAAACAATAGGAACCAGTTTCTCAACTAACCAGATCAATAATAACAGAAATTCAAATGAAGCATTATTGAGCACTGTTCCATTTTAAACTATTTGACTAAAGCAGCTCAAGTAATCGTCCAGAACAAAATCGAATGCCGAATGGATTAGTAAAATGTGCTTGCATGAGTGTGTATAAACAGAAAAATACAATCTATCGAATCTGAAAAACTCACATTGAGAAAATGCTGCAATTCTGGTGACTTAAGAGCTGAAGGATCCATAGAAACTTTGACGGAGCAAATCTAGTGACTTTTTCCGATTAGACGGAAGTTTTATCGATTTGAACTTTTTGCATAAACCCTAAACTAGAAGATGAACTAATATTAAATAGTTAAATAGTTGTATTGGATCGGCCCATAAGTTTAACAAGTTTTAGACTTCTAAGCCCATTAAGTCCGTAAGTTGATGGCCCATCTCGAGTCCCATGTCAAATAAGAAAGAAGTCATTTAAAAAGTATATTTTGACAAAATTGATTTTGGTTGTTACCTATTGTATTGTATTATATTGTTAGTTTGAATACAATATTTATTTTAATTGTTACTTAAATTATATTATATTGTTTAAATTTATTATTAGGTAACGACGAAAATACTCATTTTATGTAACGATCGATTTGATGTGATTACCTTAATATTTTCTTTTTATGTTGTCTTTACTTATTATTTAATAATTATATTTTATCAATTACCTTACTTTTTCATAATACCTCTACTTTGTATCCTACTTTTCTTGTGAGGGTTTATTATTCAAATTATGAATATGTAACATTATGTAAAGACGGAGAACAATACAATCTATTCATGAAACACTATATTCATTAAAACAATATAGGCAGAATATATATTGTCGGCATATAAAAATTAAAATCACATAGCAAAGTAAATAATATACTCCTCTTATCAAGCAAAGAAGGATATATATCTACAATTGAGTCATATTATAAAAAAATGCATATATATCCTAACATAACTAATTTAACTATATGTATAGAATAAAATTACACATGTTATGAAAATGTTGGTTGTATATTCAATGGAGAGGGATAATTTAAATTTTACTTTCACCTTTATTAGATTCTTTGTTTTCCCATTCATTTAGGCCTTGCCTTTCAATTCCTTATTTTTGGAAGGAATTGAAATGCCATTTTACACACTTCTTAGAATGGGTTGTGGCGTTTCCAAGATAGATGCCAATGGCGTCGCCACACCTAATAGATCAATTCTCCCAAATTTCCCTACTAGAAAGAAACAATCAAACAAATGCAATATCCCTCCAAAAACACAACCAATGTTGTTAATGCATGAAAATGATGATAGACTTTCCATTTCTGCTCTAAAATGTGATGTTGATTTGAACTATGTCGCACCCAAGGCATATAAAGAAGAAAATGATGAAAAAAGGGTCGCGAAAATAAGGACAATGGTTGAGGAAGCGGAAAAAAATGATGAAAAGGGTAGACTACTACATGAAGAGGAGGCGGAGGAGGAGGAGGATGGTCATGACGATGATGATCAAAGGGCGATTAAAAAGGTTCATGTTGGTGAGGAGGATGGTAATGCTTTCCCTGGTTCACCGAGTTTTAGGGTTTATTTTACCAATAAGGATGTTGAAACAAAGAAGATTAATGACGGTATGTGTATGTACCAATAAAAAATTGACTAATTTTATGATGGCTCTTGATCGATAACATAATAATTGTGTTATAATGTGTGAAGGTTATAATAAGGTGGGCTTGAAGGACGTTACCCCAGTTGCAACTACCATATCATCAACAAAGGTATGCATGTGATTTTCACAATTAGTTATGTTCTTTTGCATTGTTTCTTTTTTCTTTTAGATAAAAAGAAAAGCTAATTAGCCAAGAAATTCATAGCTAAAAAGGGAATGGATATGTATAAATTTTCTTTGTTCAATAAGATTATCAATTATGAATATTCTTTTCCTTCTTTATTTTTTTGCCAATTCTTTTTTTCTTCAAAAGATGTAAAACATTTTTATCTTTCCATCATAAGATGGTGCATTGATAAAGATTAAAATGGAGAAATTATATATACACAAATCTATCAAATTACCTTTCTCGTTTTGAATACTTTCTTGCATGACTTGTTATTACTATATGTTATGTAGAGACGTTAAAATTGCTTATTAATTAGAAGTGGTAGCAACGTCTATCCATTTATACATCGTTTTTGTTTCCATCTATATTGCATCGTTCAATTTTTTAGAGTGAAACTTCTTATAAATTTTGAAATCACGTAAAAAATACTAGAAGTATAATACTGAACAATCCAAAATATTTAAAATGAATATACGGTCAAATAAAATTTTGAAAATTAGAATGGTGTCACGTACATTTGAACGGAGTATAATATTGAACTTATAAGATTGACAATTTGGTACAGGAATCAGAGTCGGAGTCGGAGTCGTCGGTAGGAAAGGAGGAGAAGAAAGAAATACGAAAGAGAAGTACTTTTAGAAAAGTGCTACCAAAGAACTTGTTGAATGTTCGATCATCATCTAACTCTTCAACTCGATCCACTGATCATCATTATCATCATAAAGTAGCTTCTTGAATCTTGATCATATATTATATGGCATGCGAAGGGGAATTATTAAAACACCTCTACACATTGCTTTGTTTTGTTTGTTCTCTTGTGCATTCTATTTCTCCTCTTTTGACTCTATATGAAATAATTATAATAGAAGGTTCTTTAAGGCTTCATGTATCGTGAATTTGAGATATGTATATATAAGTGTAACAACGTTCAATAGAACATATTATTGAATTTATTTGTAAATTAAATGTTCTTCAATACATTTTATTGATGTATATATATTTCTACTTGTTGTTTAGCTAGAACGTTCGATGTATGCATAATATTTTTTCATATAATTTATGTACGTAGGGCTATCTAAGCTAAACCAAATATACAAAATTCATATAATGTATATGTATGAATATTTATACTTAAATCGTATAACGCTACAATTTTATTCATGGACGTACCATTGGACTTCTCGGCCACCTATCATATAGTATTATGTAGGACTATATCTAAGCTATTCCAAATATACAAAATTGTTTTACGTATATATATATATATATGATCACTCAAATATATTGTACTATAATTATTCCACCTATATTTATGTCTTCTTAAGGTTTTTGCAATGATTTGTCATTGCCCATGTTATCACCCAACTTGCAAATATTTCATTAAACCATGATTAATAATATATATTTTTACTTCACTAAATCACTTAATTATAGTAAATTATATTATTTTAATATAAACATACGATACAAATAAGTGTTTTACCTTAAGATTAGTGGTACAAATAGAAAATGTTTGGATTAATCATTGCCAGCTAGAAAGTTGTAGAAATTATGTTTCTTCGTTTTTTCATGAGAAGAAGATAGGGGTATTTGACTATACTAGTAATAGTGTGTTATCTTGGTCACTTTTTAAAAAAAAATGGATTTGAAAATAATGTAATAACATAATAGGAAAGAGAAATTAGATTTATAAGTCAATGCTACATATATACATGTCCAATGGTAACCCTTCAGAAGTCCCAAGAGCCCTAAAACCAGAAGGAAAAAAAAAGGAATATGAAAAGGGACTTTAATAAGAGGATAATGGTTAAATATTCTTCTTTCTCTTAAAAATAAATAAATAAAAATAATTAAACATAAAGAGAGAGGATTATAAGGTGGGGAATAAAATCTTCGTCAATAAGATGAAAGTGAATCAGTTAAACTATTAATAACTTGATTGAATTGTTGTTACATGCTTTCTCTAGTCCATATTAAGTGGTTCATAGTTCAAGTTTAAGAAAATTGTTACATATTTTTCCACTAGATTAGAAAGTATTTATATTGTTAGTTTAAATACAATATTTATTCGAATTGTTATTTAAATTTTATTATATTGTATTATCAAATTCATCTGTTAGATAGAGATGAAACATTTCATTTTATGTAGTAATTACGTCAATAACTTTCTCATTTTATCTTTATTTATTTTAATATTTTCATTTTATCTCTTATCCTACATTTTATTTTAGTAGCCTACTGACACACTAACTCTTCTTGTAGTATAATATTCTTCAAATTATTAATAGATGATATTATATAGCAATGAAAAATAATATTTATAAACTAATTTATACAAACATTACCATTATAAAATGATAGAATACATTATGAAACAATATTTAACATGATCCAAAGACCAAACAAAGTGTTAATTGATTAAATATTCATATTCATTGGTAGCAGACATATATATTCCGTGGACAATATTATCGGGCAATTTTGTCCTTCAAAGGGAGAGAGGGGTCGGAGTACAGCTTTTGCTCTCGGAGTCCCATAATCGTCCGCCATTAACAAGGTAAACAGGAAAATAGAACTTTCTCCACTTTTCTCAGAGTCTGCCACCACCAAACACCTAACAACAACTGTAATAATTAGCAGTAATAGTTAATTTCCAGATCGAGTTTTCGTGATCTGTTGAGATTATTGGTATCTACTTCTATTAACTGTAGATGTATTCATTGATCAATGTATGTTGCATCTGCTTTTCCTCAAGCAGATTTGACTTATATATTTTGTGTTTATTATTAGGATTTTGAATTTTAGCTAACAAGGACCAGACATGTCTGGAATTATAGGTCGAACAATGGCCAATAGAAGGATTTCTGATTTGGTGAGAATAAGTTACAGTTTTTTAATTTATTTATTTTTGAGGTGGATTTTGTGTATTTAAATGGTGAATTTGGATTTACGATTACAGAACAAGTTCTTGGTGGGAAGTAGAGTATTTGCATCTAGAACTTACTCTTCCGCAGTTAAAGAGGTGATTTTTTTGTTTTTCCTATCTGACTTTGTTGGTCTATATATTTGGTTGATGTTTACTGATGTTGATAGTGGAGTAATTTGATCTCTTTGTAGATGACAGTGCGTGACGCACTAAATTCAGCTCTAGATGAAGAAATGTCTGCGGATCCTAAGGTCTTCGTTATGGGGGAAGAGGTACAATCAAAGTTTTTGTTTAAAATTGTAAAAGTGCAATTTTACCTGTAAAAAAGGCCCAGATAATGATAGAGGATTCATATTGTCAACCATGATAGTTTGGTTTGAGGCATGGTTGTCCTGTTGTAATGTGTTGTTGTTGCAAATAGTAGCAACCGTAACTAGTTTGGGATTGAGGCATAGTTGTTGTTGCTAAGGTGGCTGTTTTGTTGTTATTGTTGCTGCAGATATCTGTCACTACTAATGTTTTTCATTTAATCTTGATCTGTGTTATTTTACATTAGTTATAAAGGAAAAAAATCTTAATCTCTGTTATGTTTGCTCAGGTTGGTGAGTACCAGGGTGCCTATAAGGTTAGAAATGGTTCTTTTCACAATTTTTTCAAGTCTTACATTATTATTGGCACTCTTTGCAATGAGAATCATTTACTTAAGTGTGTGAGTTTTTTGTTTTTTTTCTTTTTCAGATTACAAAGGGGCTTCTGACAAAATATGGTCCGCAAAGGGTTATCGATACACCAATTACTGAGGTTGCTCCTTGTGCTCCAATCATGAAACTGCTGCTTCTCCTTTCTTTCCTGAACATACATAATAAAATGCTTAAACCATTTTTTGTTCTTTCCTAGGCTGGATTTACTGGAATTGGAGTTGGTGCAGCTTACCATGGTCTAAGGCCCGTAATCGAATTCATGACATTCAACTTTTCCATGCAGGTTGATCTTCTGATCTCACGAAGACTTCTTGTCTAATCTTCTTAATATTTGTTGATCTATTTGTTCTTACCTTGAACATGTGAATATCATCTGCCAATGTCATTGAACAATTCCTGTATGTATTTTATGTATGAATGAGTTCAGAGTACCCATTAATAAGGTCGTGCTAAGATCATCTATTTGTTGATCTATTTGTTCTTACCTTGAACATGTGAATATCATCTGCCAATGTCATTGAACAATTCCCGTATGTATTTTATGTATGAATGAGTTCAGAGTACCCATTAATAAGGTCGTGCTAAGAATGACGACTTAAGAAAAACATGCAAACAATTTTGATCGTGTATGATTGTTTTGGAATCTGGTTAATATTTATAACATGGAGTAACTTGATGTTTTCCTTGTCTTCTGGAAATGAGCTGATTGAATTAAATGCAAACACAATACTAAGAGATCTCGGAGGAGGGGGGGAGGGTGCAGCTTCTACTTCAGTCACTAGAAATCAAGTAACAAAATGTAGATGAGATCACTTCCATGCTTAAATTTGTGTTATACTCCTAGAAATCATGATCTAAAATTAACAACAGCCTGTAGGACAGGTGCTTTGTTTCTGAAGTAGTGTCAACTCCCCCTGTCCTCAATGTAAACTAGGAAATAGATTATAGGTGGGGACTGTAAATGGCTATTGATCAACTATGTAGAGGCCAACTGTGTGCGGAGCTTGTTTCCCCTGCAGATAGAAAAATATATTCCTCCAACCGTTATCTCCCTGACCAACTTCGCATCTGCATCCTATTCTTCCCCCTTCTGCGAACAATGACATCTCCTGTATGCAAATGCGACAAGCACATTGGTGGTGGGTTCTCACTAAGCATGTTTTATGTAGACCGTGTTATGTTGACAAGATTTCTTGAGGCTAAGGCTTTATGCAATTTTAACCGTGTGCACATGCATAATATATTATACCTAACTTTTTGCAGGCAATTGACCATATTATCAATTCTGCTGCAAAGTCAAACTACATGTCTGCTGGTCAGATATCTGTGCCCATTGTTTTCAGGGGTCCTAATGGTGCTGCAGCTGGTGTCGGTGCCCAACACTCTCAGGTATGTTTATGACCTGAAAATGTGGTGTGCTGCGGTTTGCTGGTGTTGGGTTTCCTTCAAGTGTAGTCGAATTAAGCTACACTGTTTATATTATTTAACAGTTCTACATTTGATCTTATGTCTTTCTTTGAGGTTGGTAGTAATGATGTGCTAGCCACACTCACTAATGAAGTTGATTCTTAACTGGAGCCAAATAGCAAAATTACACAGAACTGTTACTCTAGATTTTTTTGATATTCTGCTTTCTGGTTTTGTATGGATTTCTTTTAAGTTGTTGGCTTTAGTTAATAATCTTATATAGATGGAACATGGTATGGGTATATTAGTAGACAGGGAGATGGCTTTTAACCATTACCAAGCTAACTTGGCTAATGGATTGGTGACTAGTGTGGCACTAGATGTGAGTAAGGGTGTTTTGTATTCTGATCAGACCACTTTCCTGCTGCATGCTGAACGTTCTGAATATATCTAGTCATCTACAGATAGTTTGGTACCGTACGCGATGCTGGAAAGGCTAATTTTTAGGGTTGTTATCTATCTAAGTGATTGATATAGCAACATTGCTTGTAAAATTAGTCTTTAAAAAACTTATAAAATAAGTAGAAGTCTGTGAATACCGCCGAGATCTTTTCTGTTTGATGAACTTTGGCTGAATAAATAATTCTAAGAGCCGTGAAGAATAACAAGGGTCAATTTTTTCTTGGGAAATTATCAGGGCAGTGGCTAAAAGAAAATTAGGGCCATTTCGTGAAAGATAATTGGAAACAGTATTTGCACTAAAGACTTGCGCCAGTCACTATGATTAACTTTTGCATTTTGCAACTCAGTTGCATTGATTCTTGAGTCTTGCATGGTTTTTAAGTTGTGCGCCTAATTCTCCTATTTTT